TGGCTCTTGTCTTTCAATTTGACCAAATGTACCATACTGCGCCTCGGAAATCAGACCCCTAGTACGCGGCAATACCATCTGAACGGAATACCACTTCGAGAAGCAGAAACGCAGAAAGATCTCGGAGTCTGGGTTGCGGACAGCCTTAAGCCTTCTACGCAAGGTTGTAAGGCGGCCAAGGCTGCAACTTCAATGCTATATGCCATCAAGCGGGCATTCGCAGTTTTCGATGAAGACTGCTTCTCCAAAGTCTTCGGCACGTTTGTAAGGCCGCACCTCGAATATGCAATTCAGGCCTGGAGACCATGGACACATCAGGATTACAATCTGCTCGAAAGGGTGCAGAGGCGAGCCACAAAATTAGTCAGAGGTCAAAGTGCACTGCCATACGATATCCGCTTAACTAACCTTAATCTCTATCCTCTGAGTTATAGGCAGTTGCGCGGAGACTTGATACAAACTTTCCGTATCGTGCGTGGCTTGGACTGCGCCCTTCGGTGCGATGAGTTTTTCCAACGCGCCACAACAACTAACCTCCGGGGACATCCCTTCAAGCTACGCGTGCCCCAGGGTAGATTGAATGTGAGAAAATATTTCTTCTCCAACCGTGTCGTGGAACCGTGGAATAATCTGCCCGAGACGGTTGTCATGTCTCAATCTGTGGCGACATTTAAATGTAGGCTTGACAAACATATGCTACAGCACCAAGCGGACTATGTGACTTTTTAGCCATGAGACCAGTGACATATGTGAATCAATGCATGCATACACGTACTGCTGTAATTTCTTAACATTCTGCTAGTTTATCGATTTTTTTAATGTACAAATAGGGAGTTCAAAGGCGTAAGCCTATTTCCCTCAAATACACTGACTGACTGACTGACTCTTTTGATTTTATCAAAGGCGATATGGTTGGTTCCATAGTCTGCGGCTCCAGTCTTCACCGCTATTCTTAAGGCCGGCCAATCCTTGACGAGGAAAACTCGGTCTCTAGGTCGGATTGCATTTAAATGTGAGATTCTGAAGATGCTATTTTCGCGTCGTTTTTTCTTCCTTATCGACGAGCACCAGCAATTACGTTGCCTAATAATAGTCTTTTGGATATGCGCTCGTTACCCATCCTCGCGAGGTACCTGGACCTGCACAACTCAATTAGTCTCAGCATGGTGCGGATGTTAAGGACTTCGACTCGTTCAAGGCTTTCTGTGTCCAGAATCCAGTCTTG